GGTGGTGGTGGTGGAGGCGGTGGTGGAGCAGGAACAGGAACAGGAGGAGGCGGAGGAGGCGTTCGTGGCGGCGGCGGTAGCGGTGGCGGCGAGGGCGGATCGACGAAGCAGGGTGGCGAGAAGTGTCCCCAGTGCGGCTTCCTCTGTCGGGACGTCCACGTGCTTCAGCTCCATCTCGAGGACACGCACAAGACCCCGTACGCCATCGACAAGAACGATCTCAACGCTCAATTCCCTCAAGTGGTGAGTGAAACTAACGTCAAGGACGAGAGGACTCCATTGTTCCTTGTGTATTATTGATCATGCGCGACCGGCCTGCGAATTTTCCATTTTACTCGTCTGTCCCTTTTTGGCTTTGTTTGGTCTTCCTTTTTACCTACGGTATTTTCTATTCCCTCTTCGCGTTTTGTAGCACAATCTCGATATATATTCGCTGTTTTTCCTTTCTTCTTCCTCCGAAATTCTGTTTTAATAGGAATGATATTAACGACTACGATGGGGGAAAAGAGAAACAAGGAAATTAGGTTTTCGAGAACAGAGAGACAGAGTTGACGAAGAGACTGACGAATCTTCTTTTTGCGTAGAATGGTTTCTTTCTTCGTTTCTCTTTGGAAACCGTTTTCCCTTTACGGCCTTTCCTTTCACTTCTCTTGAAAGGAGCGATATATTCGTTATGAGATGACGACGAGGAATAGCTTGCAAAAGAAGGAAGTTGAGACGCAGTCGATGATATTATTTCTTCGTTTTTGTAGATAGATACTGTTTTTCGTTCTTCTTGTTCTTTCTCCTCCTTCCCCCTTTCTTTCTTTCTTTTTTTTTAATTTTCTTTTAAGAAAAACGGTATTGGTTACGATGACGGAGAATGGTCTGTAAAAGAAGGAAGGGAATTGGGTTGTTGAAAGTTGAGAGGCAGTTGACAATAGAGTTTTATGAACGAGTAGCTCGTGAAATCCAGATTGTCTTTTATATTACATATTTATACGCTGTTGTTTTATTACGTTTATTTCTTGCCTATCTTTATATAAGTAGACGTAATACACACTGGATGCACGATTCGTCATTAAGTTTATGTAAAACAGTATACTGGCCGGCGCACCTGTGCGATTATAAGATTCAAAGTAGCTCGTTCTCGTGATTAAATACTCGATTCTGCTTTGACTTTACTTTGATATTTCAGCTTGCCTTTGTTACTCTTCGCAGTTGACGGTCCCGGTTGAGATTACGGTTTAAGAACAAAGAGATTTTTTGTGCTATTCTAATTATACCGAGAATTTGCACTATATCGCAATTATCGTATTAAAGGAAATATTAAATTTATTAAAAATTCAACAAAATTACAAATAAATTCTGGAAATAAAATTATAAGCATAGTAACTCGAAATAGTAACTTTAAATGATAAAATAAATTTTTACGTATAAGTAGTTAGTGAAAAGATATGTATTTATTAATAAGGATCGAATAAACGCGATGAAATTAATCGATAGATTTTTTCCAGTCCTGCAGGGTGTGCAGCAAGACTTTTGCTAACGTCTACCGACTCCAGAGGCACATGATCAGCCATGATGAGAGTGCCGTGCTTCGTAAGTTTAAGTGTCCCCATTGCGAGAAAGCCTTCAAGTTTAAGCATCACCTCAAGGTACTACGAGTGCACCCTTATTTTTCATTTCTCATTCGTACATCGTTATTTCCGTTCTTTGCTTTCCTTCTCATAATCTATTTTCACACAGCACTGCCTGACTTTGATATAGTTTTCTCCTGTAACCGAAACGAATGAATTCTTCCAAATAGAATTTCTCTGTATATAATTTCAACTTTCTTCGTTTCTCTTTTTTAGTTTTTATTTTTCGAAGGAGAAGAAAAAAAATTATTGTACGTAGAATGCATCGATTGACATATTTGCACCGGAACGAATATTCCTCGAAGTTAATTTTATTCGTCTTTAGTTGATAAACGCTAGTTCACGCTAGACTGCGGTTATTTATGCAGATTCGTAGTTTCGTTAATAAAATACAACGAAACAGATCGTTACATTCGATACGATACAATATTTTATAGAATTCAAAGTATTCATAGAATCGATAACGAAAAGAAAGATCAACTAGAACGTTCGTTATCGCTCGATCTTTCGTACGATATAGAAAAATGTTGCATATTATCGTATCACGTTGCATGTTTTTACAGTTTGAAATTTCGAAATTCGAATGGATAAAAAATTCACGGTCTAGCGATTGCACCATCGATTCATATACAACTTCCTTTTTTTTTCCTCTCCTCCTGATTTCAATTTCGATTTTCATCTTTATCTTTGTTCTCAGGAGCACCTTCGCATTCACAGCGGTGAAAAGCCATTCCTATGCAACAACTGCGGCAAGCGTTTCTCCCATTCGGGCTCGTATTCGAGTCATATGACCTCGAAGAAGTGCCTGATAGTAAACTTAAAAAAATCCAGGCATACGAATGTGAGCAACGTGGATCGTGGTCCGAAAAAGGCGCAACAACCCCTGCCGCCAGGGCGGCGCGAGGTCGATCTGCTCGCGGCGAATAATAACACTTTCCTCCCTATTCTGCCGAAGCTTTCACCCTCGGATTATCAGGAGATACAACGGGAAGGAGCGGGTGAGGGTCGATAACGCCATTCTATTTCAACCGCAATCGTCGTCGTGCACCTTGAACGATCCGACTCCGTGAACTCGATTCGTAATCGAATCCTAACACAAAACACAGAATTCTGCTTTCAATCCTATTTAGAGTTTACGTCGTTTGCAATCGAATATCGACGTTGTTGAAATTTAATCGTTTATAGAAAGTTTCTGAGGCTTTTGTATTTAGTTAAATCAAATTATGGAAAGAATATATGGAAGACGTATTACAATGCAAGACGGTGTAAACCTGCTTGCAATTTTATCGTGGTTTATGTTATTTAGAATTGGATACCAACATTGTTGAAATTGAGCCGTGAATCATGAAAAGAATTCTTATTTTTGCTGTTAAATAGACATGGAATATTCGAAGAGAAATTGATTAGAATTAGGCAAAACTCGTTCGAAAAAGTTCGAAATGTTACGTAGACGAGAGAGGATGATTTAAAGATGATACAAATCTACAGATCATTGGTTTAGTAGTTGCAATAATCGTGTGTAATTGTTTGTTGTATCGAACAATGTGAAAATAATGATTTCAGGTATTTACGATATGCCGACCCTTCTGCCACAAATGATGGGCTTCGGCAGCTACTTTCTGCAGGCATCCTTGGGCAAGATCTTAAATCAGCTACATTCCAAGAGATTGGACGAGGTAGCCGAGAAATTCGAGTCTCATCGGGAGCTCATGAGCCCGTCGACGGCGGACTCTGAGGGCACGGAGGGCACAGAGGGTAAGGAATCACCAGCACCGACCGATCCTCAGGGTCTTGACGCGGTTCGACGTATCCTTGAAACGGTGAACACCTCCGTCACGAAGCAACTGCTCGAGGCGAACGTGAGGAAACTGTCCACCTCGCCGGCCACGATGAAACGAGAGTTCGAGGAGGATTATCAAGTAAGATCAGATCATTGTTTATATTGTTACAAATATCGTGCAGTGAAGAAAGTCTAGTTCGACAGCGCAGAATTAAAGAGACGATTAAATTTTACAGATCCGTTCTTGCACGATTGGATTAACGTCGTTAGTGGAATTTTACAAGTCACGAATTACAAATGTTAATAGATATCCTTGCATAACAATGACAAGTTTGGTTTAATAAAACAAATGGAATTCTACGAGTAGGTTTTACGGTTAGCGCTTGTCGAAAGATTAGAAAATTGTAAAAAAAAAAAACTACAACTCGTGAGTTGTCTATTTACTCTAATATCAGGTGATTAGGTGATAAATTATTGTGCAAGTGGACGCAGATATCGAGAAGTTCTAAAGTTAGTTATTAGATTTATCTATAAATAAATTCGCGTGACGAAGAAACCAGGATTTGTAACAGTATCGTTAGATCTTTCTAATTCGATCGAGTTTGTAAAATAATGGGAAGAAACGAAAGAAAGAGTTTAGATTCTAAAGAGTGATTTATTAACGAGACTTCCCAATTCTGTTAACCACGTGGTTCTTTACTTCTTAATGCTGATTGACGTGTCGTAAACTCGTTAGACGAGTGTCATAAACAGTCTAAGTATAAGACGGATGAGGTCAATACTCCTCCAACCCTTTGTAAGCTTACCCCAAGATTATATGAAGGTCATTATTGTGACACATAAAATCTCCTAAATATATCAATATAAAGAATCGATTATTACAATTTAATGGTCTGTAGAAAAATATTGTAACAGCTACGTTTATTGATTGAAACAATTCTTAGGGAATTTTCCTCAAATTAATCTAAATTTCCTTATTCCCTTGTTTTATGCTTTACACGTTCGTTCGAAAATTACAATTTCTGATGTATTTTAAAAAATCACGAATTTCTGCAATCAAACTAATAACAAAGATTTCAGGAGTTCTCTTCCAGATTACTTTGTATCGCTTAACTGATCTCTCCTTAAAGTCATTGCTAATTGACCTAACTATCACAATTCGCTATTTCAGCCACAGAAAAACACAAATCCCTTAATTAGCGATGAATATATTGGCACAGGATCAAGACAGCGAGATGTCCAGCGAGATGGCACATTATCCAGACTGGTCAGCAGCGGATCAATATGATTCGCAGAGTGAAGGTTTGGCGGCGAAGCTTGAGGATGTGAATCAACCCAGTGCGAAATCAGGTTACAAGAGAAAAGCGGAGGATAGCTCGGAGGCGGACTCGGAGGACGAGGAGGATGGTACACAGACGCACAATGATAACGGAAGAAGAGTCAGGGCTAGATCGTTGATAGACGATGAACAATTGGCTGTTCTCAAGGGTTACTATGCCATTAATCCTCGACCCAAGAAGGAGGAGATCATCATGATTGCCAATTACATCAATTTTCCTACTCGTGTCGTACAGGTGCATATTTTTCCTCAAAAGATTCTCCAAAAAAGAAATCTTACCCGATTAACTCCTTGTCTTATGACTCTTTTTAAACGAATGCTTGTTTTCCATTGCTTCAACACCATGTTCAAATTTATACATAATAACGTTCAGTTTGAAGAAGTGAAACTAAAATTAGCGTTGAAACTAAAGTTTGTTAGGAATAGAATTTTTATTTGTTTGAATTGGAACTGTTATCGCAAGAAATAATGGCAATGTAAAACAATAATATGCTTTTAAAAGAATCATTCAGAACATGTCATGAATACGTTATTTAATATTCAGGTTTGGTTCCAAAATTCCCGAGCGAGGGACCGACGAGAATCGAAGATACCACCTCTAGTACCATTGGCAAATCCGACCAGTCAGACCGCGTACGAACAACCATTAGATTTGTCGAAGAAAGAAGCTCTCACAGAGACGGCGTGCAAAGACAGTGAAACTGTTTGTGCAAAATTCACATCGTCGTCTCCCGTTGAACCGAAAAACGATAATGCGCCATCGCATAATCAAGACGCGGATGATCTGGAGGATTCGCCACTCGTTATCGACGAAGAGACCACCGATTCTGTAGAAACGAAACGTACGGCCCCGATGGGGGGAGAAATTGTTCCGAAGGTAACGATAACGCTGGTTCTAACGATTACTATTAAACTGCGAATATCTATGCATTTGCGGAAACTTTAAATCCAGCACTTTACTTTAAATGCGAAATATTTACAGTCAAGTAATTGCTTATTTGTATTTATAAAAGTATGAGCTTGCATAAAAATTCGCGGTCTACGTATAATACAAAAATGAAGTACATATAGAAAATAATTAATAAGATAGTAAAAATGTGTTATATTAGGCGTAAAGAAGTTTGCTGTTATATTTTATATGTCTCTATTTTAATGTTGCATAATTTGTATATTGAATATTGCTGTGCTAAGTATATTATGAAGTTCCGTATTTGCAGAGTCAACCTCAGACAAATGTAAAGAACGAAAGTGAAAACACGAATCAACCAGAGGCTTCGCCAGCAGCAGAGATCGAGCAGGGTGTCTACTTCTGTGATCGGTGTGACAAAACATTCTCCAAGCACAGTTCCCTAGCAAGACACAAATATGAACATTCCGGTATGCATTTAAATGTTACTCTCTTCATTTCTACACATTAGAAATTAACGTATAGAAAATTCTTATCTTTTTATATTTGAAACATTATTTAATAACGTTAATATTCAACTAGTAAGCAGAGCTTCCCAAGCTTTTTAGGGGTCGAGACCCATTTTCGAAAATGATAATTTTTCCCGACCCACCCAAAAAGCAGCTCGGTGATCCGCCAGTCGGTTACAAACCACACTTTGGTCTTCTATGATGTAGATAATATTAAAAGATCGGATGAATATCCACAGGGCAAAGGCCGTACAAATGCGTGGAGTGCCCAAGGGCGTTCAAGCACAAGCACCATCTGACCGAACACAAGCGACTGCACAGCGGCGAAAAGCCCTTCCAGTGCTCCAAGTGCCTCAAGCGCTTCTCTCACTCCGGCTCCTACAGCCAACACATGAATCATCGTTACTCTTACTGCAAGCCGTATAGAGAATAGAAGTATTCCCGTTTAGTTGAAACGAAAACTCTCTCGCTGACTTAGCTAAGTATGTACGGTCCTTTTTTCCTTCTACGACAAGGGACTCAGCATTTAATGAAGAAAAAGAAGCGAATTTAAAAACGGGAAATAATATTATATCTCGCGACAAAATAAAACGCCTGGGAACCACGTTAGGAGAACGACAAGTACACCTAGCGACGAATTTTTCCAAACGCGATCTCGCGCACGCATTTTACCCGCGAAAAGGCTTGCGTTAAACACAGCAAATAATAATCAAAGCCTAAAAAATATATTTAACTGGAGAAGGAAACGCATGTTGATCGGAAAGGAAAATGAAAAATGAAATGCTATTCTGAAGAAAAAAGAAAAAGAATAGAAGATCGAATGATACGTTGTATTAAAAAGATTAAAGAAGATAGCGAATGAGACTCGATAGTCGCGACTCTCCTGTTCAAGCAAACAACATCGTCCAAGTGTCACGTGAGTTTCTTCTCAAGTTCGTTCTCGCTGAAATAAAGAAAGGAGCTAAAAATGATAAAAAAAAAGGAAGCAGAAAAGCAAAAAGCAAAAAAAAAATGAATTCGCAGCGACCTTGAGTCGACGAGAATTAAAAAAAAGGAAACCAAATACGCAACGGTACCAAAAATGCATAATGCAATAATCTATTATATATTATATATAATATACATAATATTTTAGTATTTTTATTAACAAGATTATTATATATACCATGACAATAATAAGGAAACTAATTAACGTACAAATTTGTTAGCCACGTTCGCACGGGGCACGCGATGTAATTCAGTCGCGACGCGCAAATTGGCGAAGGGATATGGTGACGTGATTTGAATGTTTCATTTTTGACCGAGTTGCGCGTGTGCAGTTGTACATTTAATAACGAACGAATTAAAATTCAAAGTAATATCCTGTACTGGAAAGTAACAATGTTTAAAAAGTGCAGAAACCATTTTCTAGATATTTTTACCAAATAATTAATTTACAAGAAAGGAAGGAAAGTTAAAAGTGGTGGAAAAATAATCTTTCGTTTCTGAGACATCCAATCGAATGATATTCTTCAGCCTTAATTCCTTCGTTCGCTAATCTTTTGGAACAGCACGAAGTTTGAAACATATTAAGAATTCAAAGTATAAAAATTCATATTACTAAAAAGACAAAAAAAAAAAAAAGGATAAGTGCGCGCGTGCAATTGGATAAGAACGAACACCAAAGGTAAATGCTGGGAAAGGTTGAAGCACCGGACAAAAAGAGAATACATTTGAATTTAAACCGCTAAACTGAGAGAGCTTAAACGCAAATTCCGATGAATCGCTGAGAACGGAGACTAGAATTTCTAGTCGCCTGGTCTATCCTCATCGTCGAGAGAGCTTTTTTCAAGCTCGATGCAGGAGGATTCGGCCAAATTACGATTTATTATAGCGTCGAGGTGTTTCTGGGCCTTATCTATCGGTGATCGATGCCATAACGTATAATTTTCGATTCTTGTGTACTTACTTTAAATCCAAATCACATCTTCGTATATTTCCATAATGTTACGTGAGAGATTCATATATTTCAAGTTCATTTTTTTTTGCAGATCTCACGATAGTTTTATAATACCAATCGTATATAAATTAGTTCTTACTCTCAGTTATTAACACTAGAACTATCAAATATGTTAAGATGACCGTTTCTAGCTTTCTTTTTTTTTTTTTTTTTTGTTTGTAATTACTAAAAACACGTAAAAGCTTTTGATAAAATTAATGTTAACGTATATTTGGATCGAAATACGATTATATACTTGTACTTTACTTTTATCATACTACCTTAATTACAATTATTTATATATTTGTATTTTATATAGTTCTAGTGTTAATTTTAATAATTATTTAAGTATTTTGTACATTGTTTTCTCTTTCTGTAAGTTAAATTTTCTTTATTTTCTTAAGTTATTCAGACATACGATAAGTAAAGCTTCAAGCAATGCACGTATTTCTCGATTTATTCAACATTGTTATTATTTAATATTTGAATCTCCGCGTATCATCCATTTACGCTAAAAGGAAAAGATTTAGAAAAACGAATGTTTCGCATCGTAGGAAGAAACAAAAAAAATGCCTTAGACATTCCGTAAAAATCAACGCGCTACCGGTGCTCCTTTTTTAGTTATTCATAGATCACGAAACATCACCATGGCCTCTCGTACTTTTTGTAGAGCTCATATGGTCTCGTTGTCATCATAAGAGATTTCAATTGAACCCGACGAGCTCATCACATTTGTTTCTGGCGCCTGAAAGGGAAATGGCATCGAGAACCTTGCAATACAAAAAAAAAAAGAAAAGAAGAAAAAAAAGAAATATAAAAGGAAAACATTGAGAAAAAGTCCCTTCACCGAGATCCGGGCCCCGATCATAAACTCTAAGTATAATATTAAAATGCTTCCAATACTGTACTATTAAAACAGAAAAAAAATTATTATTACACAATTTTTATGATTTTATTCGTTCGGACGCGTAGGTAAGCGATATATATAAATATATATATAATCTACAGATCGATAATACTCGAGAATTGTATTTTATAACGGTTTATGCCTCTTTTTATTTACACGTACCACGAGTGACAAGTGATATATATATATATTATATTATATAAATATATATATTGTTATTGATAAAAAAAATTGATAAAAAGAAACGACGACTTATACGGGGATACACGGCAGAAAAAAAGAAAAGGTGTAACGTTTAAAGGGCCGCGCCAAAAAAAGTAGTGTCGTGTTCGGCCGAGCGGGGCGCCACCGTTGCATTTCCTCCGCGTCTAGAAGCTCCGGTTATCCGCGACAGGCATCGTGTCCGTACTACGAGATAAAATGGAAAAAATCCAGATATGATGCTTATAATACTCATTTATTATAGTGTTAATAGTTAAGAAATATATTTTTATATTATTATAATATTACGACACGATATATTATATATATAGTACTAATCGATCGCCGCGGATCCGTGAACCCGCGACGACGAGTCTGTTCCTCGGCTGGTACAGATACGCGAGAATCTTCTATTTTTATTTTCTAGTTTTTGAGACTCGATCGTAAACGATTCAACGTTCCTGTGCAATCGCTTTGTTATTTTTCTTCGTTATTTCTCATCATTACGTGTTATGTTCTCTATCTTTTTTCATTAATTTGTTTTTATTTGTATAATTTCTTTTCTTTTTTAAGGATCTTTTTAATTGTTGATATATATAACAATTTACCGGCATTCCTTAAGTATTTTTCCTTTCTATGATTTTACACAAAAATTTGTATTCGTACGTTAAGTTTCGTCGGTTATCGATTTTCAATTATATATAATTATTCTCACTCTGAAAAAAAAACGCCTCGATTCTGTACTTTCGAATACTTTCACGACCAACGGGTTTAGAACATCAGGAAGAAAAAGCAGGAAATTTACGAAGACAATATTGCATACGTATAAGTGACTAAATGAAGAATAAAAAAATTATATATATAAATATAAATATATAAATATATTAATATAGATATATAAAGATAGAAATATTTGCTCTGATTCGGGAGTATTTGCAACCTGCTCGCCTCGATGTATGTATGTACGTACTATTAAAAATAACAGACACAGACTACAGCGTAATTTTTGCCAGCTTTCGCGCATCGGCATCGGTTATGTCTCCGTTATTTCCTAAACTATTACGTGAAAACTACGTAAAAAAAAAGGAAAAAAAGATGAAGTAATTAAACTAAAAGTGAATAGTAACTCATATGAGCATGATGAAACAAAACGAAATATGAGAAAACGAGGAGAGAAATACGAGAAAAAAGAAGAAAAAAAATTGTTAATGATTGTTGATGCAACGATTTAAAAAAAAAATGAGCACCGTACGATGCCTTCCGTGAACGACCGAGCTTGCCTAGTTACCGAAATAATATAGAAATTCAATGATTCGATCTCGATATGAATTCTCTCGTCGAAAGTAACGCTATCCCTGCGATGCCTCTTCCATCTGTCGAACGATTGTTTCCTGTAACCGCAGACAATAAATATAAAGCGAGTAAATGGCGTGCCATAAACGAATCTTCGTAAAGTTGTAAAGAACACTACGATACCGACACGTAGAGCATATGTACCTCTATATTCGTGTTTGATTGAAAAGTGTTCTAAAACGAATTCCATGAGAGTATATATTGTGATTTTTCTCTAAAGAGGGAGATGCACGTGGGGATAACAAACATATTCGCTTTAAATTGTATTCGACGAACACTGGTGGTTATGCCATCGAGCTTTCCATGACTACGTTACATAAGCACCAGAATCGTGCGTGTGTGCGTGTATTGCGTGTATGTACACCAGAAAAATACTCGGAAATAAAATACGGCAGGACAATAATAATACCGTTTCTTTTTAGAAATTAGAGAGCGTAAGCATTAATTACAATAGTACATATAATATATATATAAAAATTGTAAGTGTGAAAAAAAGGATAAATTTGCTAAATGCAGAGAGGTCTGCACGTGTACGCACAAGCGCATCCCTTGCGTGTACGTGGATACACGTGTGTACACGGCACAGCATGTATGTACATAGGTAATACATTCGTAAGGTTACATTTAGTCGCCAGGAATAGCGATGCGGATGTTATTGTAACAGTGAAGTGTAATATGCGGTAGATACTTTGAGAGGACGGTAGGGGAAAAAAATATAAAAACCGGAAGGTTCCAGCTGCGTAGTGGATGCAGTGCCTTCTCCGGGTGAAATGATCTCGTGGTGTTGAAGCGAGCGGTTGCAAAACAGCTCGATAAGCAATTTGCATTGTATAATATTTTAATCTAATATTTTAATCTAAATTTCAACGAAAATTTATCGCTAAGAATTATAATTATACCAGTTTCGTTTTAGATCGACGTATTTTTAAGTTATTTTTCGTCTTGCAATACAGTCGCCAAAATAAGGGGCATGAAATTGAATTCAAAACGAATTTCAGGATAATAGTCACTTTTTGGAGAAGGAGTATATATATTCTTATAATTAAAAGTATGTTATTCTAACCAAAACGATCTCCTTTTAAAGTTCGATCGTTGATAATGGGCATTTGAGATAGAGAAACAAAATAGAGAAAAAAGAAGAAGGAAAGAAATAAAAAGTATAATGGAAGAGGGAGGATGTTGGAAGGATCGAACACTGCGCGCACTACGCGGCGAACTTTCGAAGCACGAATCGATGAATTTGGTTAAAACGGAAACGGGAGCCGAACCTGTTACACACTGCGGAAAGAAGCAGCAGATAAAAAGAAAATGAAATTTAAAAAAAATAATGTATTGTGACGAAGTTCCATCCATAATAAAATAAATGAAAATATTATACAGTTAGGCCGACTTTTCCGCCAGTTCGTGCCTTTTTTCTGCAGGGAGAGAGAGTGCAGTTTTGGAATCGATCTGAATGATGTATGCTATTGATGTACCGCCTACTAATAGAAAAACATGGATAAGGAACAGGAAAGAAAGAAAGAATGAGACAAAGAAATTGAGGAGGAAGGGTATAATGTTAGAATCGTTAACGATCTTAGAGATCGTGATGAAAATATGGGCGGACAGAAGGGACAGGATATGAGGAATTAATTACGGGAATAGATCGAACGAGTTTATGTTTGACATGATGACAAAGTATGTGTCCTGTAATGCATTATTCTCGAAGAACATTACGAGCACGCAAAATTATGTCAGACGTTGGTGAGAGAGAACAACAAGCAACAAATGAAAAGAAACGAAAGGAGAAAAGAGGTGCGAGATTAAATGTGTAAACAGTCGAAACTGAATGACATGAATGAAGGGAGAGAATGAGAAGGAATGTGTGTGCGTGTGAAAGGAAGAACGGGAGGGAGAGAAAGTAAGTGAGAGAAAGAATTCTAGCAATTGTTGAACGTTCATTAAATTGTCCTCGTTTCACGATGTAATAAAGGCTATTTTACTTTGACATCGATGTTACATTTTTTACTTTACATATATTCCTTGTACCTTAGGTTTTGGGTTTGAGGACTGGTATATCAAGATACGAAGATATAATCAAATATTATTCCCTTTAGAAATATGTACTACATCAGAATCAAATACATAGCTCTATCCATCGAGATGTTGTCGCATTCTTACTGAAAAGACGATGATAACATCTATAGTTAAAAATGAAACTACTTTTACAAATGTATAAGTAAATGTTAGAAGCAAAATTATAATGGAATAGCTTTGTCTATTGATACTAATAATGGAGTCAACGATTAAATGACCACACCCATTAGGGCTCAGAAACGAAGCCAATTTGTTCAGTATTCCCGCCTATTGTAATTAAGGAGGGGATTAAGTTACTTGTCTAAGCATGTAAGGTCCATATTCCATTCATTGTCTTATATGAATAATGTCAGATCTATTATGTATTTAGTCAATGCCACCTTGTAAAGATAGAGACTTCTGTAACTCGTCGGTGGCGGAACATGAAAAACGATTACATGTCACATCTATTTTGTACCTCGTCAGTGATGCCATTACCATTAACTACACTCGTTTCCTCATCTGTGCCGCTGCCATTGACTGAGGATAGGACTCGTTAGATGCCACTACTATACTTAATTGACAATGTCGCATGTGGCACAAAAATGGGTATCAGATGACTTCCAAAACATGAAACACTAAAACTCATTGCGTGCCAGATTTACTTTACAGCTCGTCTGTGATTAAATATAATTGTAATAATTTAGCAATATTATCTATTAATTAAAAAAAATATGCAAAAAATTAAAATATCAAATAACTGAATAACTGTGATTAGATTAAAAATGCACAAGAAAGAATACTGATCTTTTAAGAAACTGATTTTTATTGTTAAAATTTATACATTACTCGGCGCAACCATGTTCATAATTATATAACAGGTTTAAAATTTCATTCTCGCTCTATCATATACTGTACATGGACAAACGGAAAGATCTCAATTTAGAGGAAGTTTCAGGCACTGTATATCTACAGCATCTCCTTTATACCTGTTCAATTGACTCAGTAAATGTAACTTTGGTTGTTTACAATGAGTTGTATGCAATTCATATGATGTACATATATTCAACAGTACAGGTTCTTGTAAACTTTTTACAGGATTTCTTGTTATCATACTTTCATATAAATGCACTGCTGCTTTTAACTGGCCTGTATATAAAAGACAAACAGCCATATTATTAATTAGTGCTATGTTTGATGGATCCAATGCTTCTGCTGCTTGGAAACACTTGTATGCTTCTTGAAAAGAATTGTGGGCTACTGCCATTAATCCTCTGTCTGTTAACTCTCGAACAG